AGTTCCACTGAAATGCCATCACCTCCACTGGCCTTGTTGTTATCCATGCTTTCTAAAGCCCACTTGACTTCACTCTCCAGGATGTCTGGCTCAAGGTCAGCAACCACACTATCTGGGTTGTCCAGGACATCCAGATATTTCTGGTATAATTCCTCTGTGTATTCTTGCCACCTACTGTAGAATTACAGAAATGCAACAGTAGGTAACACCTTTGTTAGACCACTAAAAAACTGAACAAACAGCCAGCTTTCATGGGTCAAGCCCACTTCTTCAGGCCATCTACCAATATTTTGCAGATAGTGCAGAAAAATTACAAATGAGAGTCCCAAAAATTCATGTGCCAAGGAGAGTGAGATCTTGGGGTGGAAGGCTGGGGTGAGAAGCAGCCTGGGGTGACCACTGGAGGGCAGTACAGGACAGTGTGGGATATTTAATGGACTGGCCAATCAGGTCTGCTTTCAGAGTGAGGTTTCTATGCTTCTATCTTTTCCTCTGTTGGTAAACGGAAAGGAGGAACAAATGGGAAAAGAGCTTGAGTTATTATAATCTATAACCTTAGAACTGTAGAGTTGGAAGGGACCCTAGATCATCAAGTCCATCACCTATCAAAGAGGGGAATCGAACCCTATAGATCATCAAGTCCATCCCCTATCAAAGAGGGGGATCGAACTTCCAGCCCCTGGCTCCACAGCCGGATGCCTAAACCACTGAGCTATTCAAATGGAAGATTCCAGTTACCTCTAATCTGGGAATTATAGGTCCAGAAATCTAAAATGTCCAAGTTCTATAAAAGCATATACTGTATTAATCTCAGGTTTATCTTTGGAAAACAGGTTTTGTGTTGCTTCCAAACTCAGCACCACATGTTTGATCAAGGGCAACAATGACTGAAAAACAAATATGTGTGTATAATCTTGCAAAGCCGAATCTCTCTTAAAACACATCAGTTTACAGTACTTTAAAATGACAAGTTTGTCTCTAACCAGCATCAGGACTTAATTCACCCAAACAATGGATGAATCTAGGAAATTGTCGCTGTACTTTAGAAGAGGGAAAATGTAAAACTGTATGTTCCTCTATTTTTAAAAGGGTGTTAAACATATAGGACCACATGAAATCAAAATCGGTTCCTACATCAGAACTCTAGGTCTGGTTACTAAGAAGGAGGTCCCTCTGAATTTAGTGGTGAATATTCATACACATTTCTGCGGGATTGCAGTTTATGTAACTTAGCCTTTTGCCATAATATAGTACATTTTATGTGTGTAATTAAATACATATATCCTGTTTATTTTGATAATTTTTTCCTAAAAGGACTCAAGTTCAGAATATGGAAGCATCTGTTCCATGTTATAAATAAAGCAGGGGGAGTTTCTAAACAAAGCAAGTGGGTACCCAAAATAAAGAGACCGCTAATGCTTCATTTCTGAACTATTTTTAGAAAGATTTATGCAAATTGAGTTAGTGAATTTCAGATTACACAATTTATAGGTAACAGAAACAAAAACATTGGCAATTTCTGACTTTTGGAATCATTTAGGTTATTCTGCTGTCTCTTTTTGATAATATTTGCCCCATATCACCTTGGTAACTAATTTGGTTTTACATGAATTTACAAAGGTTTGTCTTAAAAAACGTTTACTAGATACTTTTACCTCATAGTTTCTTCAAGCAGCTCCAAACCATATGCAGGTCTCTCCTCACCCCATTTTATCACAGCAATCTTATGAG